TACATCTGTTCTGTAGCAGATGGGCCATCATAGACAAGTACATTTGTCCAGTAGTAGATGGGCCAGTCACATACAAGTACATATGTCCTGTAGTAGATGGGCCAATCACAGACAAGTACATCTGTCCTGTAGTAGATGGGCCAATCACAGACAAGTACATATGTCCTGTAGTAGATGGGCCAATCACAGACAAGTACATATGTCCTGTAGTAGATGGGCCAGTCACATACAAGTACATATGTCCTGTAGTAGATGGGCCAATCACAGACAAGTACATCTGTCCTGTAGTAGATGGGCCAATCACAGACAAGTACATATGTCCTGTAGTAGATGGGCCAATCACAGACAAGTACATCTGTCCGGGAGTAGATGGGCCAGTCTCAGACAAGTACATATGTCCTGTAGTAGATGGGCCAATCACAGACAAGTACATCTGTCCTGTAGTAGATGGGCCAATCACAGACAAGTAATCTGTCCTGTAGTAGATGGGCCAGTCACATACAAGTACATATGTCCTGTAGTAGATGGGCCAATCACAGACAAGTACATCTGTCCTGTAGTAGATGGGCCAATCACAGACAAGTAATCTGTCCTGTAGTAGATGGGCCAGTCACATACAAGTACATATGTCCTGTAGTAGATGGGCCAATCACAGACAAGTACATCTGTCCTGTAGTAGATGGGCCAATCACAGACAAGTACATATGTCCTGTAGTAGATGGGCCAATCACAGACAAGTACATCTGTCCGGGAGTAGATGGGCCAGTCTCAGACAAGTACATATGTCCTGTAGTAGATGGGCCAATCACAGACAAGTACATCTGTCCTGTAGTAGATGGGCCAATCACAGACAAGTAATCTGTCCTGTAGTAGATGGGCCAGTCACATACAAGTACATCTGTCCTGTAGTAGATGGGCCAATCACAGACAAGTAATCTGTCCTGCAGCAGATGAGTCAGTTACAGACAAGTACATCTGTTCTGTAGCAGATGGGCCATCACAGACAAGTACATCTGTCCTGTAGTAAATGGGCCAATCACAGACAAGTACATCTGTCCTGCAGCAGATGAGTCAGTTACAGACAAGTACATCTGTTCTGTAGCAGATGGGCCATCATAGACAAGTGCATCTGTCCTGTAGTAGATGGGCCAATCACAGACAAGTACATCTGTCCTGTAGTAGATGGGCCAATCACAGACAAGTACATATGTCCTGTAGTAGATGGGCCAATCACAGACAAGTACATCTGTCCTGTAGTAGATGGGCCAATCACAGACAAGTACATCTGTCCGGGAGTAGATGGGCCAGTCACAGACAAGTACATATGTCCTGTAGTAGATGGGCCAATCACAGACAAGTACATCTGTTCTGTAGTAGATGGGCCAATCACAGACAGGTACATCTGTCCTGCAGCAGATGAGTCAGTTACAGACAAGTACATCTGTTCTGTAGCAGATGGGCCATCATAGACAAGTGCATCTGTCCTGTAGTATATGGGCCAATCACAGACAAGTACATCTGTCCTGTAGTAAATGGGCCAATCACAGACAAGTACATCTGTCCTGTAGTAGATGGGCCAATCACAGACAAGTACATCTGTCCTGTAGTAGATGGGCCAATCACAGACAAGTACATCTGTCCTGTAGTAGATGGGCCAATCACAGACAAGTACATATGTCCTGTAGTAGATGGGCCAATCACAGACAAGTACATCTGTCCTGTAGTAAATGGGCCAATCACAGACAAGTACATCTGTCCTGCAGTAGATGGGACAATCACAGACAAGCACATCTGGTGGAGAAGGAATGTGAAGTGATTTGGCAAAATATATCATTGGCCGGTTTAATGTCTACGTAAAAGACACAAAACACAAAACGAGATGTTTGTGCAAATCACCCTAAAGTAAAACACCACCTACATAGTCTTATGGATAGAGCGACTGCCCTGAGAGCAGAGGGTCGGTGGTTCGATCCCCGGCCACGTCGTACCAATAGACGTGATAAAATAGAACTTGTTGATACCATGCCATGTGCTCGGCATTAAGGTGATAAAACAAGAACTGTTCGGACAAGTGCAAGCAGCCATACACACACGTCGCTTTTTAGTGCGGATCTTGAACGCGACGTTGAACACAATTTCACCTCACTTCACATAAAGAGGGGGTACGAGTGGCCCAGTCGCCTAAGTCGCCGCGATTCGCTGTGGAGAGCTGCGTTCCTTGGGCACGCCAGAAACCTATGGTTGTGGGTTCGAATCCCATACCCGTGCTCGTGGGTTTCACCGAAGTGGTAAACGTCTGAAACCTGCATCACTTCGGGTTTTCCTCCCACATTAAGCTGACACGCCGTGGTATAACTGGAATACTGTTAAAAGTGGCGTTAAACCCAACTCACTCACACACAAAAAAATATTAAGAATTTTGAGAGTAATACTCTTGGACAATACCGACTCACCTTTAAAATTTCGTCAGGTTCTGGATGTTATTAATAGATCTCACATTGTAACAAAATCCATTTTTAGTTCTGGAAACCCCAAAATTCCAATTTATAAAATATCATAAATAGATACCAGTTCAACACAGATTTATATACAAATATTCACAATAATATTCAACAGCTTATGAGCTCAGCTTCAGAAATAAATTCTGCTCTCATTTGTAGATACATCTAAAATGTCGCCTTGGAAACGCATACGTAAGCAAATGACGCAAGTTCAGCACTTGCGAAGGGTGTTTACAAAGTTTCACAATAAATATTAAAACAGCGTCTACGTTATAAGCCGGAAATGAAACCAACCTTCATTTCTACCCGCCTTCACATTGCTACCATGGGAACGAAAAAACAATTGAATTGCAAAAGACATCTTCAATACTTTACAGGTGTGTATACATATTTTTTTTAAAAATATTAGAAATAAATTTGTTACGAAACAATATCTAACTCTGATAAAACCCGAGTCAAATAACTGGCCAATATATAAAACAAGTACGGTGATTGGCATCAGGAGGACAATAGAGGGTCAACCTACAGTAAAAAGAGAGTGAGCGACCGAAACATATATCAAAGTGTTGCACATGTGACAACAATACATAATATATTCCTACTGTTGAAAAATGATGTCCAGCTTAAACGGATACAATTAAATATTTACAATTAATGTCAACATTAAATAAATAGTACAAAAAGAAGAATATATATATCTTGTACAACTGCTTCCTACAAATGGTTTATTGGGGCGGTTATACAGTTAACTACGGTTATAGCGAACACGCTTAAAACGAACTGACGGATATAACGAACTTACTTATTTGGTCCCGACTATTTGCTGTAGTTATTCTGTATATGTGCTTATGACGAACTACGGTTATAACGAACTAAAATTAGTAGTCCCCATGAGTTCGTTATAACCGTAGTTTACTGAAAACCATTTCGTTTGCCTGTTATTTCTTCAATAGTCTGTTGGCTAGCGGCAGGGCTAAAGCGTTCGCCCGTCACGCTGAAGCTCCGGCTTCGATTCCCACATGGGAACAAGTTTAGAAACCCATTTGTGGTGCTCCTGTCATGATGTCGCTGTAATGTTACTAAAAGTGGTGTAAATCCACACATACTCCTGCCGTCTTCAATAGTCTCCAAAGCGTACGTAAAATACATTCAGACATTTTCTTGCAAGAAAGGGATCAAGAAGGGATCCGGGTGTACTTGCTAAGGCGCTTTACTTTTAAGAACATGCATTCATGGTATAGTTTAATGTCACTTTCCTGGTAAACGACGCTCTGATTTGGTAGGATGCAAGGTCATTCTGGCGTGACCCGTAATGAGATTTTACTGAGTTTGAAGTACATGTAACAGTAAGGTGCTACACAAGTATGATATTTGTTATCTTGATGGAGTCTCTGTTCAATCAAGAAGTATCACCATAGTCTGGCGTGTGTTTGTAATTGCAGGTTGCAAGTACGAGGGGCGATCAATAAGTTTTGCAACTTCAATATAAGACCAAGTCGCAGAATATCTTTTGCACTTTTATTTTTCAATATAATCTCCATTCACCTCTATACACTTATTCCATTTGTCCTTCAAGCTTTTAATACCACTTTTATAGAAATCCGCAGATTGGCCCTCTAACCACGCCTCTGTGGCAGCCTTTCTGTCCTCGTCATCCTGGAAGCGTCTTCCACAAAGGGCAGATTTCATTTGCCGGAACAGGAAATAGTCACTGGGGCCTAAGTCTGGGCTGTAGGGTGGGTGATCTACCCCTCGTATTAGTTCCGGTAAAAGTGATCGGAGCCCAATAATGTATTTGTTTATTCTTTGTATTTTGCAGTTTATTTGTTTCACCGTTGATTTACTGTCCTTAATTTAATTGTTCAGAAGGAGTCATTGTTTAAGAAATATGAACATTGTTATTTAAACGTTGTATTTCAGCTGAATACATAGACATGAGGTACACGTTAATAACTGAATTTCTTGTATAACCTAACAATATTCAGTTCTCTAATTTCATTGGATTGACCAATCAATTACGAACTTTAATTCAAAGTAAACTTCCTGCTGCAATAATATTTCATATCAAACCACGAGTTTGGTGTCGCTCGTCGACCTGTTGCAGAATCATTGGTCGCAGCAGGTACTGTGCCAAAATAGATAAATTAATAGTGTTTGTATCACGTAATAATAATGTCCATAGAATAGGCTACTTATGATGGTATCTTGCGACCCGTGAAGATGCGGGTTGGAATTGGTCTTCAGCAACCCGTGCTTGTCGTAAGAGGTGACTAACGGGATCGGGTGGTCAGGCTCGCTACCTTGGTTGATGCACGTCATCGTATCCCAATTACATGGATCGATGTTCGTGATATCAATCACTGGATTGTATGGTCCAGATTCGATTATTTACAGACCGCCGTCATATAGCTGGAATATGTTGAGTGCGGCGTTAAACAACAAACAAACAAACACACCACTGTAGCCATGCTATTGACACTAATTTGCTTCTATCTACAGTTGACACCCAGTCCGAGATGTTAGTCCGGTCATGTGGCATGGAGTCGATGCTCAACACATGTGGAATGTTCCGGTTCAAGGAACACGACTACCACGGCTGCCTAATGTCGTGTAAGGCAAACGCTTGCAACGAGGCTAGTGTACTACGTCATGTGTCGTCATGCATATTTGTGTTCATTTTATCAGTTTTAGTTCTGTACACAAACAGTTGACCTTGACCTTTTGACCCACAAGAAGACATATCATCAATGACGTCACCGTTCCCCTGGTCACCCCTACCCCTCTCTATATGATGTCCCAGACACAGTTGGCCATAGACTGAACACTTGTCTATTAGAGGCCCAGACAGGGTGTGTCGATAGACCCAGACAGGGTACCGGTGTGTCGATGGACGTGAAGACATTAGGCAGATTGTACATACAATGAGGATAAGACAGCACATGTCTCAGAGACAGAACTTTAATAGACAGTGTGTGGACAGAGCAAAGGAGATTGTGTTTCTTTTTTTAAGTCGTATGAAGCTGACACTCATTTGACTGTTGATTCAATCTTGTCGAGACAAATGCTTACAGAGATATGTTAGCATCCAATTATTATCACCTGGTCTGTGAACGTCTGTCAGATACAGATGCGTACACATGTGTATATCTTCTTTATTTCATGTTACGGTTGCATTAGACTTATGAAGACATGCATTTATGTAAATCTTATCTCATTATCTCGACGTCAGATGGCGACTCATATTTCTTGACGTTTCTTGACATTTGAGAAGAATGCGGCCCTCTTAGGCCTAGAGGGGAAGACGACGTTTATTCAGCGTTAGAGTGAAGACATCGGCGTTTACGCAGGCGGGGTAAGCCGTTGCCTGGTACAGTCGACGTTAAATCGACTCACATTTACTCCACGTTAGAGGGGGGATTCAAGGCTCGTTCCCTTGACGTTATAGGGGGTATTCGAGGCTAGTTTCCTTGACGTTATAGGGGGTATTCGAGACTCGTTCTCTTGACGTTATAGGGGGACGTCAACTCTCGTTCCCTTGACGTTATAGGGGGAATTCGAGTCCTGTACCCTTGACGTAATAGGGAGAATTTGAGTCTCATTCTCTTGTCGTTAAAGAGGGAATTTGAGTCTCGTTCTCTTGACGTTTGAGAGGGATTTCGAGGCTCGTTCTCTTGACGTTATAGGGGGAATTCAAGTCCCGTTCCCTTGACGTTATAGGGGGAATTCGAATCTCATTCTCTTGACGTTATAGGGGGAATTCAAGTCCCGTTCTCTTGTCGTTAAAGAGGGAATTTGAGTCTCGTTCTCTTGACGTTTGAGAGGGATTTCGAGGCTCGTTCTCTTGACGTTATAGGGGGGAGGTCAACTCTCGTTCTCTTGACGTTATAGAGGGAAGTCACTCTTGTTCCCTTGACGCTGTAGGAGGGGAAATCGACTCTCGTTTTCTTGAAGTTACATGGGTAAGTCGACGTTAGATGAATAACGCAAGGATCGTGACAACGAGAGCTAATCTGTTCAACCTCTCATCTCCCTTTCCCCGTGTATAAAATAACACCGTTACATCGAATGTTGTTTGGTTCAGTGTTGTTTATCGAATCAATGTGGAGATTTAATATTAATATGTCACTGGCATATATACGACAATCACGTGCACTGGACTATCATCATGTACAATTCTACCATGCCACTTTGGAATCCTGCGTTCTGATTGGTCCGCCAGAGGTAAAGAATCTACATTAGACCATGATCCCGTTGATGACGGCTTGTTGCAAGCCTCCCTGTTTGGCAAATTCTTACTTCTTTAACGTTGCGAAATAATGTGTTGTGGTTCGTGTTAATATTTGCAGTACGTGTTAATAATATTTCAGGCGGACAGCTTGAAGAGCAAATACTAAGAAATTGTATTGTAACATTGAGTAGCATTAACTTGGCTTGACCTTTGGCGCTACTCTGCTTAGACTTCCCACTCGTAGTACTTATGACGTCATAATAGTGGTGTGTACTTTACAACGGTGGCTTTACATTCTTTTTGAAGTGGTTCTCTTATTGTGGTGCAAACTATTGTTCTGGTACACAAAGCAGACTTTATGCAGATTAAAACCGATCTTCAAAATTTACCCTTTCAACCTACCGAAAATACTAGGCTTAACCAATGACACATGACTAATGATTTCAGTTAAAGCCAAGAACACGTATGTTTCGGCATTGTGTTATGGTACAGGGGAGATAAACCTTGTGCGTTTTCAATTCAGAGGTTTCGAACTATGATTCGATACCTGCAAATATTTCAAATATTTCTACGTTTGAACCTCTACCTAAAAAAAACAGTCCAGGTCTATCTCCTAATGTATATGTATGGTTTTTTGTATAAAATGAATCAAGCAATTTTGAATTTAATTTGTTTCTGATACTTGCTATCATTGCAGAAGACGCAGGTAGATAATTTTATGAAAATAAATTTATACTAGGTGACAAAGCTGCCGACCAAAACAGCACATTTTTTTTCTTTTCTCATTTCAAGGCTGAAAGCAAGGAACAAATAGAAAGTGTAGTAAGTTTATTTCTTGTTTGGTATACCATGCCTTGTAGTCATTTTCATGTACTTTTTTAATTTGAGGATATTATTTGAGTACATCTGTTCTAAAGAAACTACAAAAGCTGTACCTGTTGAACATGTTGAGCATACATAAGCTCATGTCACCTCTCGTTTTGAGGAACTATTTTATTCCGCGATACAACTGGTTGTTGTATGACTGTCAGTGTAAACGTTCTATCCTAAATATAATTGTGTATAGATCAAGGTCTACCTCCTTGAGGTAAAACAAGTGATATAAAAAATTATATGAATCGCAAGCTCCGACGTTCATAGAGTTTGGCCCTCACTCTATGAAGATGCATACTCCAATGAACTCACACAAAATGATTCGCTCGTCACGCCGAAGACCCGGGTTCGATTCCCGACATGGGTACAATGTGTGAAGCCCATTTCTGGTGTCCCCCGCCGTGATATTGCTAAAAGCGGCGTAAAACCATACTCACTCACTCTCACTCACTCACTCACTCACACAAAGTGAAAGTCAATTCTTAAATATTAAAGTTTCTAAATATTTCACCTTATAGTTAACAAAGTCAAACGTAACTGTGATGACTGAGACTAAGATATTGGGGGCTGACAACAAACTTGTCAAGAGTGTAGCTCAATTTCCGTTTAATTCGTATGGGGCTCACAACTGACTGGAGTCCCATTTAAAACAGCCGTGCTTTCAAACCAAGGTATACACAGCACATAGTTAGTTATCTACATTCTACCATGACAAAACTAAGCCAACTCTCTGATGTGAAGGTTTTTTTAATATTTATTAACATAGTTTGGTGTGTATGCTCAAACATTGTATTGATTTCACAAACATTATATTTTATTCGAATAGGAAGCGACGTTGATAGCTTGCCGCGCAGAAACTTCGCGACCCCTAAAGAAAATAAAGCAAGCCCCGCAAGGTTAACTTCTAAACAGTACGCCTCTATTATGACGTCACACTTATCATTCTGACGCCGACATTATGATGTCACAGTCGGCCATAGAAAAACGCCAAATGTTAAGCTCTCCATGGTTCCTTTAGATTTGTATCGTGTTTTCTTCTCTAAATGTCTTGCTACACATACTTTGTATTTTGTAGTAATTTATTGTTGTACAAATAACTATTTGACATGCCTACCGACAATGACTGTATCCCCGAGTAAATGTTTCTGTAAAATACGCATCGGCCGTGTAAATCAGAGGTGGTGGTTGTAATTTGAAAACTCTGATTGACCAACAGGAATCGAATAATTTCGAAATTCATGGTAGAATTTGGAAAGAATAAAACCGACCGTAATTTGAGGTAGTCTCCCTGCAGATTAGATACCTCTTAATGAATATATTCATAAAGCGCTCGGTTCCAGATTAAACCATTCTACAATGACAAGGAAACCTTTAAAACTATATTCTTTCAGAACATGTCATTGTACATAGGTTAGCTATCCAAGAACATTCTTAATTTACATAATTTTATATAAAAACTTATCTTAATTTTCAACAAAATAACGATTTTTTTCCTGCTGAGGGCACTTAGTTGGAATAAAACAAAATACCATCATTATTATGGTCAGCTATCGTTTATCAATATATTTGGATGACCAGAATTACGCCTTATTTAAGCTAGTTGGTTATAAATAAATTGCAAGTAATTCCATGTAACTAGCCAAACAATTGGTCTTGCAGTTTTCTTTCGCTTACTTTGAGACAACTGTTTCCTGATTGGCTGATAGAGTGGACGGAAATTGTGTTGCCTTATTGCGTTGTACGATGCCTGTTGTTGTGAAGTTATTATTATTTATATGTATTTATTTATAACAATTGCCTTCAATATATTTTTTGCGATTATGGAAGTATAAACGTTTGAGAATATGTTTTAATTATTAGAACTGTATTCACAAGTCATGTTTTATTTTAAACGAAATAATAGGAAGTCAGGTGATATGTCTTAAGAGAGTTATCTTACCGTTTGCAGCTTATATATATTTCTGTATTGTTTGTTGTTGGCCACGTGATGTCCTCTCTTAAGGTCGTCGAGTTACTGACGTGAAAACGTTAAGCACTGTGATAGGTTATCACACAATTATCATATTTTCCAAATGTTCATTCTACTGTTTAAACGTCGGAGAATATTAAATCAAACGATGCCAATGAATTTGCAAAAAATGAAATTATTATTATATCTTATTGTAAAAAATAGCAAAAGTCCATTTAATCATGCCATTATTTTCATGAAATCTTATTATGAATAAAATATCAACACATTTCAATATTCGTTGTTGTTTTTAACCTTTGACGTCATTGTTGGCGCCAACGACTCGACATGCGTGACGTTGAATACACAGTTGAGTACACAGCCCTTGCGTGAGTTTTGAACAGCGAATGTTGTATCACGGCATATCATTTTGATGGGGAGAAAGCCCGAAGTAATACCCGATTGTACTTCATATTGATCATGGGCTCTACAATTAACTGACTTCGTTTTTAGCGTAGTATATGATGACGATTATGGAAACGTATATTATAATAACGTGTTATAATGGATATTATAATAACGTCGTGTGGTGGGATATTATAATACCGTCCTGTAGTGGGATATTATGATAACGTATTGTAGTGGGATATTAATTATAATAACGTCGTGTACTGAGATGTTATAATAACGTCGTGTACAGGGGTATTATAATGACCTCATGCAGTGGGATATAATACTAACGTATTGTAGTGGATATTATAATACTGTCGTGTAGCGGGATATTACAATAACGTCGTGTAGCGGGATATTACAATAACGTCGTGAAGTGGGGTATTATAATGACCTCATGCAGTGGGATATTATACTAACGTATTGTAGTGGATATTATAATACTGTCGTGTAGCGGGATATTACAATAACGTCGTGTAGCGGGATATTACAATAACGTCGTGAAGTGGGGTATTATAATGACCTCATGCAGTGGGATATTATACTAACGTATTGTAGTGGATATTATAATACTGTCGTGTAGCGGGATATTACAATAACGTCGTGTAGCGGGATATTACAATAACGTCGTGAAGTGGGGTATTATAATGACCTCATGCAGTGGGATATTATACTAACGTATTGTAGTGGATATTATAATACTGTCGTGTAGCGGGATATTACAATAACGTAGTGTAGTGGGCTATCATAAAAATGTCGTGTACTGGAATATTATACCGTCGTGTAGAGGGATATTACAATAACGTCGTGTAGAGGGATATTACAATAACGTCGTGTAGTGGGATATTACAATAACGTCGTATAGTGGGATATTATAATTACGTCATATAAAGGAATATTATAATAACGTCGTGTAGTGGGATATTATAATAACGTCGTGTAGTGGGATATTACAATAACGTCGTATAGTGGGATATTATAATTACGTCATATAAAGGAATATTATAATAACGTCGTGTAGTGGGATATTATAATTACGTCACGTAAAAGGATATTATAATAACGTATTGTAGTTGGATATCATAATAACCTTATGTCGTGGGATATCATAACAACGAATCGTAGTATATATTATAATCACGTCTAGTACTGGAATATAACAATAACGTCGTGTAGTGGGATATTATAAAAACGTCGTGTACTGGAATATTATAATAACGTCATGTAGTGAGATATGATCACAACGTCGCGCAGTGGGATATTATAGTTACCTCGAAAACTATAAGACAATGTCGGTATGATATTTGCTTCATCAAAATGTGTTATTCATCTGCCAAACTAGCAACAACACCGTTCAACATGTACATCATTAACAAAACGTCCGCATTATGTGTAACAAACTGGATTATGTGTAAAACAGGTACATTCAATGTGACACCTGACATTTACACGTACAACCCTGCGAGACCTGATATTTACACGTACAACCCTGTGACACCTGATATTGACTACAGCAGTAGTGAAGCAGCTGCAGAACTGAATGCTGTTGTACAAAACAACCTAAGCGCTACGGCTGTGGTATGTCTATGTTAAGGTATGGGAGTTACGATCACCTTAGCGCTACGCCTGTCGTAAGTCTATGTTAAAGTATGGGAGTTACGATCACCTTAGCGCTACGCCTGTCGTAAGTCTATGTTAAGGTATGGGAGTTACGATCACCTTAGCGCTACGCCTGTCGTAAGTCTATGTTAAAGTATGGGAGTTACGATCACCTTAGCGCTACGCCTGTCGTAAGTCTATGTTAAGGTATGGGAGTTACGATCACCTTAGCGCTACGCCTGTCGTAAGTCTATGTTAAAGTATGGGAGTTACGATCACCTTAGCGCTACGCCTGTCGTAAGTCTATGTTAAAGTATGGGAGTTACGATCACCTTAGCGCTACGCCTGTCGTAAGTCTATGTTAAAGTATGGGAGTTACGATCACCTTAGCGCTAAGATCGATGTGTACAACGGCAGCCTGGTACTTATAACTGGTTAACACAACCGTGCCAATAAAAGTGAAACCGGAATTAATATTGTCCTCATCACAGTGTTGGCTATTCGATAAATATTAATACGTCCAATTCCAATGATGTGATCATGAACGAAACACGCATCCTCCACCGTTTCCCCTTTGGACTCCGTATCGGAATGGTCTCAAAAGTCTCCGATGCCCGTAACAGCCGGGTAAATGAAATCCGATGAAGAGGCTGAAATACCCCGGCTGTTGGTTTGTCTGGTCCAGACTGTATTCTATAATGCCTGACCACGATGTCTGGAACAGCTGGAATATTGCCGAGTGCAGACCAAAAACACATCCCAATCTCACGTGGAATGCATCTAAACAACGTATTGTATTTTACGGGCGGTTCTGAAACCCTGGTCGTCATAACTGCATCCATATTTGCACACACAAAACGTTTTTGTTTATATATATGTTTAATAAATTTATCTAAAATACTGACATCTGTGAATGGTATCATACCCACATTATTGCAGTTATACACCAGCATACACTGTACATTGGAGTCTCCACTAGGAACATATAACAACACATAGAGATTCAAATATAGTGTAAATATTCCTAATGTATAAATATATACAGTAATATTTCATTTTAGACGCAGCAGTATGACATTAACAATATTACGAATTCAGCTTCATTCAGAAGTGGAAAATAAAACAAAAACAGGGTAGAATAAACTATTGAAGACATTTGTAAAAAATCTGACAAAGGGACACAACTCTGTACAGCGAATTGCTGAACTTGGGATCTGGAATTTCGTGATGTCGACGGCAACAGCCGTCTTGATTGTACACAGACACAGCAGGTCCCCACTAACTTATTAGGATACCTCTATTGTTAACAAGGGTATTTGCAACGTAAAACAATGGAATACAATAACATATACCACGAACACTCGTCAATCCAGACACTAACGTTAACTTTGACACCTTCAGTTAGTAAATGTATTATATATTCACAGTTAGCTAGGGTAGGATGAAAATAAATATTTGAGAACAGCTAAGAAACCAGAGCGATTGCTGACATCATTGTTATCTAGACGACAACAGTTTGAAAACTGAGATCATTACCATAAGCCGACACTTATTTCCCTTCTCATACACCATTGACCGATGTGCAGAGTTGCATCCCTTAGCTGTGTAAGGAACCGCTGATAGTAGGATCAAAATTCATATTTGACCTGATTATGAAAAATGGTTCCGCAAAACGATATCCGTGCTTCACAAGGGGGTGAAGTCTGCAACCTGCGATTCTCTGAGCTTTTCTCCCCTTTTCCTGACACACCCTGATAAAATTGAAACTAAACTCATCCAACGCTTGGACAACCGTTCTCATGTGACTGTCCTGGTCAGGACTACACATGATCAGAGCTCCAGATAAGCTTTTGGTGTTGTGGGTATTTTACCCATGCATTTTAAAATCATTGGGTATCAGTAATTCTATCTGCGTATTCAAATTTCTGTTACCCACTAGTTTTTACACATGTGGGTATTTAAGTTAAATATTTAAAAACACTATTCATCTAGTCCCTGCAAACTGGTGTCGTGTGGGTTCGAGAGCTTTATGGGACTCAAAAATACCACGATACTTCCACAAGAAACTGTGATGGCAAATGATCACGATGATGTCATCGTGGAGTTTGGCAAGGTTGACGGAATGCCCGTTTATAATTTCAAAATAAGTTGCTGATTTGCTAATCGAATACGCAGGGTTACTTCACAATATTTTGATGATACGCACAAGTTTTATTTTTGTAGCGTATCTGTAATGTTCGTTGCGTATTTGATACGCTTGGATTATATTTTACTGTGTATTTCTGCATTTCTGATGCGTATTACACGCAGATACGCAGCTTATCTGGAGCTCTGACATGATACTACATTAGAATGAGACCCATAAAAATGGTATAGAAACATTGGAACCAATCTGAATCAGGCACGTGACGGCAGATGTCAAAAACGGTCATAGTGCTAGAGCAGCTCATTTCAATATCTTTAAAATTCGAAAAGCATTACTACGAGAACGATGAGAAATTGGTGGCTGATTGCAAAGAAAGTGTACATGCGCGTCCGTGGCTAAAAATTTTAGGATCGCCGTTCCATCCATCCAGACTCGGTAAGCTAGAAGTGAATTTCCTATGTATGTCTGTTGTTAGTGATATGGTCTATATTCTCCACACGCAGTGGTAACATCTGGTGGATTCACATTATGACTAATGAATGCAATTATATAAATCAACAATACACTGTGACAAACATCCAGTTAAACTAAAACCACCGTGTCATCTAAACACAATATTTTGGCGTGTGACAGCTTATGTTGTCAGATAAATGCATAGATTAAAAAACCACAACGAAATATTTCCATACATCATCAAATTTAAAATTTGGGAAACTACAGACTTGTTCGGTAGTAGATCAGTAGACTTGTAAAACGTGAACAGCGCCATATGCATGCTGTAGTAATGGGGCAACTATACACGCCCACAGACAGTATATAGTAACACTATATATTGAGTCCAAGAATAACTGATGAAGCTGGCGTCAACGCAACTGCTATATGATAAGCACATACAGTATACCGGGGTCAGGGTGAGTGTGAGTGAGTTACTAACAGTATCATGCCAATATATCTGTATTGGGATAGATTTGGGAAACGAACCCGGGTGTGCGAGGTGATGAGCGACGGCTTTTACCATTTACCCACCCGACCCTTAACACAGTGAAAATCCGTTCATCCGTATGGTAGCGTTCCAACCGAAATGGACGGTTTAACGATCAGTGCAGAATAATTAACAGATATTTTTATATGGACTAAAAGGGGTTTAAAGTTCAGCTAATCCCCCTTTGTGTGCACACAAAAAATGATCGTCCTGCGTCCTTGAACTATTAGGGGGAAATGAAAAGTATTAACTGAAAATACCTTTGCAGCTTATTGGGATTGAACATAACCAGAAGCTCAACCTTAAATGTGCAAAGACAGATAATGGACTAGGGAATTAATGAGCTAGTGTATATAATGACATACAATTTTCACATCCTGTTAATCTTTATGGTGTGGAATATTAGCAGGGCATATTACAGTGAGTGAGTGAGTTGGGTCTTAAGCCGCTTTTAACAATATTCCAGCAGTATCACAGCGGCAATGGCCTTCAGTGCGACGACCGAACGCTTTAACCACTAGGCTACCCCAACGCCCGACGGCATATCAGCAACCCCCCGTTTAATTACATGTCTTTAAAGAATACATGTCGTATCAGGTATATTATGTTCAGATTTCAAATCAATTACAGTATATAGGGATGCATTTCACAGCAAGCACGCGGTTCATAATCCTTTCATCTCATGCGTATCACAATGCCTAAATACCGTATTCGACGTAATAAGCGCCCAGCTCTAATAAGCGCTCACGGCGATATTTGCTAACATATTGGCTAGTGAACAATCCCAAGTAGCACCCCTTCCGATTGATCAATGTGCACAAGACTTATTTATTCGCGTATAATACGCACTCATGTGTTATATGACCCTTAATTATGGGCAATTAAATTCTGGAAAAATATAACTGTCGTTTATAAACATTTCATATAAACCACGAAATTTATCCTTTAACTCTGTTTGTTTCACCAAAATAATATTCTAATAAGTGCCCCCTATTTCTAATGTTGAGAGCGCCCTGGGCGCTTATTACGTCGAATACGGTACATATCCTCTACCCTAGTCATCCCTTCATCCCTGCCCAGCAATACCACCCGAGTGCCAGGTTGTGTACCTCTCTGGATTCATTGAACGTTCAATCATTGCAAATACCAAAATACCGAAGACAAGGGCGAGGATCCCCGACATAATGATCAACCGCTCGGCCCTTTTGGCGTACTTGGCCGCCCTGTCGATGTTGCCCCTCATGATTCCTTCGTCAAACTCAGTCTTTGCCTTGAAGGCGTAGTAACAGGCGGGGATGCCGGTCGGAAAGAAGAAGAAAATTGCTATAGTTCCAAAGACCTTCAAGAATTTTAACTGTTTTTGGCGTAGCGGTCGATCTAAATCTCGCCATCTTTCTGGAATTGCGCGAGTCTGTATTTCACGTGTTCCATCCGACTGAGGTACCACAACCCGTTCTTGTATTACAACATTGTTCCCACTTCTGTTGTCGTAAACAACTGGTAACGAGTACCCGGATGTCGGGGCTTGGTTTGGGGTCGTGGATGGCTCTGTAGGTGGTTGTGCAGAGGCAGTTTTCTGTGCTAAAATGTCTTTTTTTGACGGCGGTGGTGGAAGTCGTATGGCGGAAGTAGTCCCATTTTCGGCATTTGGCGCATGTCCATTTTGAACTTCTGGTGTAGGGTCTGTTGATGATTCTTCGAAAGCCTCATTCTCGTATCCGACGTTGAGTCTGAACGTACCTCCGTTGATGTGTGGCTGAATATCGCTCTCACAGACGCTCTGGCTAGAGACCAGTTGGTCGGCCATTCTGAAACAGAAAAATGTTAAATACACAGTCATCACAGAATAAAAAAAACATTCCTACTAACTGAATATGGTATCCTTCATTTGAAACATGACCAGAGAAGATCCGGGGTAGAGAAGCTCTTCAGCAGCCCATGCTTGTCGTAAAAGGCGACTTTGCTTGTCGTAAGAGGCGACCAACGGTATCGAGTTGTCATGCTCGTTGACTTGGTTGATACATGTCATCGTATTCCTATTGCGTGGATCGTTGCTCATTTTGCCAATCACTGGACTCTCTGGTCCAGGTTGATTATTTACAGACCGCCGTCATATGGCTGGAATATTGCTGAGTGCGGCGTTAAACAACAAAACAACATTTGAAACCTAGATTATGCTTCAGGTATGACAAATGAAAATGTTGCCATGCACAAAAATGTGGCTTAACGTCGCGTTGAAGATTCTTCCACTTATATAGCGACGTGCGTGAATATATGTGTGTTACTGTCTGTACTAGTCCAGGCTTACTAGTGCTCACTGTCCTAGCCCACCCAGATACCATGCCACGAATACCAGATTCAGACACAGTATACTGACTCCGAACTGAAGAGTTCTTTTTGTCCCTTTTATGTCGAGCGCCGGTTAGGGTAGCGACCGGGGATCGAACCACAGACATTCAACTCATTGGGCAGAAGCTCTATTACACCATAAAAATACAGTTTCATGAAAAATATCAGTATACAAGTCTAATTATGCAATTCTGGTATGAGTGAGTGAGTGAGTGGCGTTGTATGGTATTTCAACTATATCCCGGAACCTGAGCTTAATAACCCCGTGCGAGCGCGAGTGAGTGAATGTGTGGGCTACTTAGAACAGTTTTTCAGTTGTATCACGGCATGTCAGCTTGACGTTTGAGTAAAACCAGAAATGATGCAAGTCTTAGACGTTTTCTGTTCTGGCGAAGCCCAACTATTGTATTTACTAAGAAAAACCCGATAGACTGTATTGATTATTTGCCATTTGCATCACCCTTGCTGACAAATCTTCAAACTTGGAGGAGCTACATACAACACTTTTTTATAACTTAAAAAATCCAGTGATGAGCTCTTGTTAAAGAATTGCAAAATTAAGACGGTTTTCTACACTGCGTTAAACATTCCCCTTCACTGCTTGACACGTGACGTTCCATCCTAACTTCTAAAAAAACAAATATTCAGATCAAAAGGAAAAAGCAAATGCATCACGTCATACAGAGATAAGAAACGGAAGTGAAAAGCATGTCATTCTTTGCTGCTTGCCACAATAACGTTAATGTCCTGTGCTGGTGGACCAGAATTGGCTTCGTTTAGAGTGGCCTGTCGGGCTTCGTCTTCACAAAGACAGTGTCGCCTATGAGGCACTTAGAGCCAACTGTATATTGTTAATTATGGTGTCGCCTCGCCCAATATGTTTCTGCTAACCTAATATGACACCGTATACGCCAACTAAAGACACCATAACACTTTCAATCGGTATAAACGATAGGACCAGTACATATTTCCGGTACAACGCTTTAATGTAAACATAAACGCTAACAATGGAATATATAATGCACTACATGTGCATGATTAAACAATGATACAAAGGATATATTATAAAAATACCGCATGTTATCAGAAATCTGCGGGCCACTGTAACTTGATAGCAGTCCGCTTTTCCCTAACGACGGGCTGTTATCTATTCTATTCCTATTTGACGTCATTGGCGTCACGTTTCTTGTTTGTGACGTCATCCCATATCATAGCTAAAAATGGATAGAATAAAACCGCCCGCATGTTATAAAAATGAGCGGGCCACTGTAACTTGATAATGCCCTCATATTGCTTGACGAAGGGCCATTATCCCACCCGTTGTTATGTGACGTCATAGGATGGGGATAGGTAACGTCACGTTCAATAGTGACGTCATCTGGTTTGTTCTATGACGTTTCCATATTTGTAAAAGTGGGTCGTGTTAATTTGCAGTAAATGTTTCAAAACCGATATTGTTGTTTCTTTTTATTTGATTACAAATGCCATCCATTTTAGCTATAATAATGGTAACGCTATTTCACCCTTACCATTATGTTCTATGACGTTTCTACTTGTGACTTTTTTTCCTATTATGTTTCTTAAAGTCATGAACGTGGTTCCTTTAAAAAATAATGTCTTTGCACATCACAATTAATGCTATTAAAACACAAAACAGTTTCGAATAACGAATGTCGGTACCAGAAGTTTCATGTGAAATATGTGAGGTGGGTGTTGGAAAATCTAAAATGGCTGTTACTGACGGCATACGGTTTCATATTAGGTCAGTAACAACCATCTTGGATTTTTACTGACGGTATACGGGCTCATATGGGGGTTAGTAGTTCTGCCCTCTGATTGGTCAATCTGACCTTGAGGCATAATAAGGCACGGAAGTGAGTAGGCTATGCAACATTACAATGCCTCAAGAGCTTTCCTGGAGTTCCTCACAAGCGAATCTTGATGGAGCATCGATAAATCCAAGAATACCATAAACATGAGGTTATTTAGCTAAACTGTAGCTGATCCTGATTACAAGTCGGGGTGGTTACGCGATGATTCTGTTCTTATTGTGGTTCCGTTGTTCTTGTACGTTTCGGAAGGTTACACATCATGATGATTTAGTCAGGGCTGACAGGGAGATTTGGGCCATAACCTGGGGCTGGGTCTTTAGTCTGAGACAGATTATTCTGTTGAGTCACACTTCAAGACATACAATGTTTCGCCGTGACATGACAAAGACAAGATTTCTTTATACACAACAATGTACTAGTATTCATGGGATTAAACCTGAGGATTACTTATTTGTTCAGCATTTGGGGGAAGAGATTATTTATTATGACAAAAAAAACTTGTGTTTGCTTCACGGTCATATTGAAAAATTGAAGCATTACTCATTGAAATGTTATCTAGTCTGATATTTGGTTCAATTTGTTCCTGCCATTTTTTCAGAATATTATTATTTATCTTCCAGTTGAAATTTCCAAACCAGAATTTTTTTTAAAAAGCTGCAAATTTGTATAAACTGTATTTTTTGGTCAAAATGTGTCGTTGGGATTTGTGTAATGCAAGCATTTGCCACATGTATGGACTTGGGTACATTTAGAATTGGGACATGTTTTTATCTTAATTTTTTTACCGAATGAAAACTGCATTCATACCCCCCAAAAACGAACACACAATAATAGTCCACAATCACATGCAATTAATTATTGTACCTGATAATGAGAACTTGTAAACCGTTTTTCGGGTTTTATTCACAAGGGTCATCAGAAGATGTCAAAACCCCTGGGGCCCCAGGTGATGTTAACACCACCTTGGCCTAAACAACACTATCTATCATCTTATCCAATCATATATAAACTTGTGAAATTCAATTCATAGATATATTCATCTCATTGTCGCATGCATGTGTTAATATGAACAATCATATGAACGGTGAACGTACAAGGACGAATCCAACATTTTTAAAAGGGAGGGGTCCAAATATATCAAAATCCTCTCTCAGAAAATGTTACTGCCTACAGAAGAGTGTATTTGTTTTTCAAAAGGGGGTGGGGGTGGGGGTGGGGGTGGGGGTGGACCCCTGGTCTCCCTCTGGATCCGCCAGTGACGTGAGTGTATGTATTTTATAGGACAGTGAGACAGTAGGCTCTACGCTCCAGTGATCGCCACAAATCCAGCCAGGCGTGGCGGCAGATGATCCGATTACAATTGAACGGCGGCTCGTATTGTCGGAATATACATGTCTTCACGTGTCTAGACAGTAAATGTAGGACCAGCAACCATGTCGGAATATGTTTGTAATGGAATTCTAGAGAGAGTGAATGTTGGTTAACGCCAGACTCGGTAAATGTCATTTTAGAAGTTACTTCAATATATGTTTGCATTTATGCAGGTATAAACGTGCACAATGAGTAAGCGGATTTTAAGGCCCCATTACACAGGGCTGCGACCTTTGTGCCACCTTCGAGCGATCAAAAACTGGCCAGGACGCTCAATGGTCGCCTTTACCCAGAAAATCATGTTTTTATGTAACTGCTCCATGCTGCAGTTGTTCAGCAGTAACTGCTCGAGTTGTTCAGCGTCTGCAACCACAATGAAACACTGCAGGTACAAGCCCTCTATTTATAGGCAGACTGAGGAGGCACTACATGTAGCTCAAAGGAGGCAGACAAGAGGCAGAAGCATTGCCATGGTGTCTCAAGTGTTCCCGTGGTCGCCGAATGGAGGCACGGCGGTCGCCATACTCATCGTTCAATTCACGCTGTTGGTCGCCCAAAGAAGGCAGAAGGGAGGCAGAAGCATCGCACAGATCGACGGGAAAAGATTTCAGCAGAACGCATCTATTACCTGGCGACCATTGGGCGACCACTGGGCCTTCATTCTGCAATGCTTCTGCCTCATTTGAGCCACCTCTGAGCAACCAACCTCCTCGGCGACCTTTGTGCGACTGTTTTGAACATGTTCAAAACTTCACGGCGACCATGGCGTCCATGGCGATGTCTCAACCTCCTGTGTACCACCTTGGAACGGCCTAGGCAACCATTCTGCCTCCTTTGAGCTTCCAACGACGACCTGGCAAATTCTATGGTCGCACACGGGAGGCACAAAGGTCGCCATCCTGTGTAAAGGCCCCATAAGGCAAGTATACACATCGGTTTTAATGTTTATACCTCAATAAACACAAAAAAACATTATGAAGTCAATTCATTTAAATAAATACGTCAACAATAACATCTTCACAGACTGCTTAGATACCCATCAACACAAATACAACTGTATATAACAGCACGAAATTAGTGACATCATTCAGCGTAATATAGACTAGCCCCGCCCATTCTTATCAGCCAATAAGGAAACAGTAGTTAAAGGGCGCGACCTAATATTTTTCGGTTTCTGGAAATCCAAAACAGTTTCTTAGTAAGACAACGAAATGCCTTGGAACCACTTGCAATATATTTATATCTACATGAACAAAAATCAAATCTGGACCAGACAAACCAGTGATCGGTAGGACGTTCAACGACCCACGCCATGTGGATTTGCGATGGGACACATTCACCCTGGCCATACAGAATCACTGTTTCCCACTGCAGTCGACATGTGTGATGTGACGGCCATCACCTATGCTACGAAATAGTAACGGGGCAACGTGGGGGCATTTGGATAGGAAAGTGGTACCCCGTGAAGATCCGGGGTAGAATAGGTCTTCAGCAACCCATGCTTGCCGTAAAAGGCGACTACGCTTGTTGTAAGAAGCGACTAACGGGATCGGGTGGTCAGGCTCGCTGACTTGGTTGATGCATGTCATCGTATCCCAATTGCGCAGATGTCAATCACTTGACTGTCTGGTCCAGACATTATGTACAGACAGACGTCATATAGATGGAATTGCCGAGTGCGGCGTTAAACAACAACAAACAAACAAACAAACAAAAGAACAAAGCTCACACACACGCGCCTCCTAGCTCTCTATCACTTATGATCATTCACTTTCCCATGATAACTCACGCACTCACTCTCTCACCTCGTGTTTCCATGTATGCCAAACAAACATGAATACGAACGATGCTGAAAGAATCTAAATGACTCAATTAGCATAAACCTCTCTAATTCATTATACACCTTGCATACCTATGAGTCCCGAGTACGCCGGTATAGCGCCAACAGCTGTGGGGACCGACATACCGCAGTACTGCCGACCGCTCATGGCCAATAATACACCGACCATCAATAAATCAATCAACTCTTTCCCAGACAATGATACCCAACTGACCTAATTGGTAATCAATAATCGATATTATTGACGTGTACAGGTAGCCATACTGGATCAAGGTTGACATTCAAAACACCGCGTCGATGGATACGCCTTCAGATATTTAATATATATTCAATATATACCAGGTGAGTAGTATTTACACCTGTATCATATACCCTGTTGGCGGATGCAGGGTGTTTAAAAGGGAGGGGTAAAAAATACCGATATCCTTTCTCAGATAATTGCACTGCCTACAACATAGTAAATTTGGTTTTCCTAAAAATAAAAATAAAAAAAGGGGGGGGGGGGGGGGGTCCATGCTCCCCCCTCTGGTCCCGCCTGTGTGATCACAGGTAGCTGCTGTGTCACGGCGATCAATAATCCACGCCAAAGCAGCTAATACAGGTCACGCTGTACTATACTGCCTCAGTAAATACAGCCTAAACTAAGAACCTAGAAACTGTGCAATATTGTTAACAGTCACATGGTATTCCTTACCTGTCCGCTTGGTGACGTCAACTCTGAAGTGTTTGATTAGGCGGATGAACATTCCACGCGGGTTGATGAAATAAACAATCTGTCAAACATGATTGAAATCCACAAGTTACGTCTATTTCCTGAGTATGTGAGTGTGTAAGTCTGACATGGTTGTCCTGGACAGTGACACACGTTGTTAGTGAGACTCTCGCTTGGCCTTTATTCCCGCTTGGCCGGCCATGCTCAACGACTCAGGCTGCGTGCGGGCGATTGCTTCACATGTGTACGAAAACATAAACGACAACTCTCCCAAGTCTGATCAAGCTCAGGGATCGACCATTGGATACTCGGGGGTGTGGTGTGGTGTGGTGTGGTAGAGTGGGGTGGGGTAGGGTGGGGTGGGTTGTGCAGAGCAATCTTTTCAGCTGCAGCTAGAATACCAGGTATTTCTAATTGCAGACAATTTCTTTTTTTAAACCTTTAAAACAAATTAAGCCTAAAATGCATTCAAACATATATAGAACGCCATATGGGTCAGTTAATCTCCAATAAAGTACCATACCAAGGATCGGATATCATATATGGCGGAGGGGAAACCTCGTGGTTAAACCGTTTTCATCGATTGATCGGCAAACCGCAATTCTGGGTTTGAATCCTGACAAAATCAAACAATGTGAAATCCATTTTTGGTGTCCCCCGTCGTGATAGTACGGGAATATTGCTATAACGTCGTAAACCATCACTCATTAACTCACATGTTATCAAGGTGAGTGAGTTGGGTTTAACGCCGCTTTTAACAACGTTATATCACGGGGTGTCAGCTTAATGTGGAAGGAAAGCCCGAAGTGAAGCAGTTCTCAGACGTTTACCATTTCGGTGAAACACGCGAGCACAGGTATGGTGCTGACAAACCTAGAAACATAATCGGGGCGAACCGGGATTCGAACCCACAACCAAAGGTTCCTGGCTTGCCTAAGGGACGCAACTCGGCACAGCGAATTACAGCGCCTTAGACGACAGGGCCACCCATGACCCCAGTTAAGAAGGAACTGGCATTGCGTTTATCCAAGTGAGTTTTCTGGCTTAGTTTCATAATCATATAAGGACATGTTAAAATTGATTACTTTTTACAAAGATATCAAAGTATTTACAAAGTTTACTTTTTTTTACAGTGAGAAAGCTGCAACACAAAGAGGTAGAACAACGTTTTTCCTTTGACAAATCATTCACTTAAACGCAACATGAAAAATCCGACTCTTAAAACATTATACAGCGTGGCCTACCCAAACCGGTTTCGGTTCTCTGTGTTGACTGAGAAATCGTGATCAACCGAGCATGGCTTTTCAGCAAGCAAGGTCGGTATTTGGTGTGCGTGAACTCTTTCCCTGTCTAAAGTTACTCTCACTGTTGTGTCCCTATTTTTTTAACAGGTACATTTTTTGTAAATGCCATGCTGACATTTTGATGTGAAGAGTGCGGAGATTAAGGGTCAGAGCAAATTAGTGTCCAACATACAATAACAACAATAAAATACACAACAATAGCAACAACACCAACAATCATCATCATCATCATCATCATCAGGTATATCGAAGAGAGTGAGTGAGTTGGGTTAACGCGGCTTTAAACAGTATTCCAGTTATATCACGGCGTGTCAGCTTAATGTGACAAGAAATCTCGAAGTGATGCAGGTCTCGGACGTTTACCACTTTGGGGACACTCTCGAGCACGGGTATAGTGCTGTCAAACCTGGATCATAGTTGGGACAAACCGGGATTCAAACACGCAATCATAGGTTTCTGGAGTGTCCAAGGGACGCAACTCTGCACAGTGAATTGTGGCGCCTTAAACAACTGGGCTACCCATGCCCCCAGGCATACCGAAGGATTAATGGATCACATATTCCCGAGGCAAGGGGGTTATATTTTGTCTGGACTAACAAAGCTATGCATAGTCCAATCAAAATCGAAATCGTTATCCGGTTCGTAAACTGCCGTGCAGATATCAGTCGATTGCAGGATGTGCAAAACATGTCGGCGTCAACAGATATTTTCCAGATCTTTCATGTTTTTAATAAAGGTGCTCACCTGATTTGATGCACTTCTCGAAGTAAGATGCGTTTTATCAAAATCTAGATTTTGATTATCGATCAGATCGTCTTGACTGGGCGCCGCCATTTTGCTTGAAGCAAATGCAAGTGATATGAGAGGTGGAATCTGATTGGCCTATAGAAGGGACATAGAAGGGACGTAACTCGTCATAACCACCGCTACGATTGAGCCGAGAATTTCCAGCCTAGTTCGACAAGGGTGTTAACTCCCTTGCCTCGGGAAGATGACTGGATCACTGAGTATGACTGATGTACATTGACTTGTTTTGGATAAATTAGCAATCGATCTATTCTGTAAGTCCTACAAAACACGAACTGAAAATGTTAAAAGGAGTGTACTGTATAATATTTAAGAAATAAAGACACACTTGAATGTACACTTTGTACACAGAATGCAAAATTAATTTCAAATCAACATTCCCATCCACACGCATTTTGCATTATTCCTAATATTTAGAATTACTCCAACAACTATTTTTCTATCGTGAATGAACCATCTAGTTCCGTTAATTCCAACACTCGGAAGGGTATTTACAGTTCAAACCTTCAAAACAGAAACATACAGTAACCGACTAGGGAGAAATTCTTGCATATGAAATCGTGTGTTATCCTTGAGACTATGAGGCCCCGAATTTAAAAAGAAAACCTGCTTGGTTAACCAAACGTTGCCTGGAAATATGGATTTTTAAAGAGAGGATGGAAGGCCTGTGCATGACTCCATACCTCCAAGTAAGCTTTAAGGGAAGTTGCTGGACTACAACATACGGAAGAGTGAGTGAGTGAGTTGGGTTTAACGCCGCTTTTAACAGTATTCAAGTTATATCACGGCGTGTCAGCTTAATGTGGGAGGAAAGCCCGAAGTGATGCAGGTCACAGACGTTTACCACTTCGGTGAAACCCACGAGCACGGGTATGGTGCTGACAAACCTAGAAACATAATCGGGGCGAACCGGGATTCGAACCCACAATCATAGGTTTCTGGCGTGCCCAAGAGACGCAACTCTGCACAGCGAATTGCGGCGCCTTAGACGACTGGGCTACCCGTGCCCCCACATACGGAAGAAGAACTTCACAACTTGTGTTCAAAACTTAACTGTTTTATTATGACTGAGATTCACAATAAGCCCATCTGTAACACCCATACCATGAATTCTGCGCACAATCCTGTCTTCCTTATGTATGCCAAAGAAAGCAATATGAAATGCAGCCCAAACAGCGCGGTCTTCTAGTGTACTTTTCCTCATAGTGCTTTTATCGTCATGAGGATTGAAGGAGTAATGTTTTACAAACTGATGACCTGCACCCAGCACTCTTTTTACACCAGTAAGCACTTTCTTCACAACCCATGAACTATTGACTGGGGTCCACGAACAATGCCCTCGTACAGACGTGTAACGACATTAACTCACAATAGGGCTGTATTTGATGGGACGTACCGTTGATAGATAAGTAATGTAGAGCTCGAGAATATTTGCTAGTGAAGGTACGGGTATCACATTCATTGACACAAAAGTCCAAGCATTTGTGCATGTGCACTGTATAGGTCTCGTTTGTAGATGCTGACCAAGCTGGGCTTTCTCTAGTCTGGCAATCCTTAGCTTACAATGTTAGGGTACACTTGGTGGGTTAATTCATAGACAGAAATGCCTGTCAATCAATCTTTATTCGTGGCACTGATGAGGCCAAAGGCCTGTAGATCATTCAGTTTGTATGTCACGGGCGTGTTACAAATACATTTTCTGTTTCATAGCATGATATATGAACATAGATAAATTCATCGTACAATCACGTGTCAATAATTTACAAGATTTGTTAACAATTGCTTTGTGGTAGAAATAGTAAGTTTGATATTTTGCTCTTTAATCATTAAACACTGAACATACGCATTAAAAGTGATATTTATCTTCAATGCAATCAGTTTTATAAATCCTACAAAAGTCTATGTTCTCTTGCAATATCTACATATCTGCCCGTTACAATAACTAGATCATGTGAGCTACAACGAAATCGAGAAAAAGCCGTTCTAAACTTATGTAGATTTAAAACTAATAGATAATGTTCTAGTATAATAGTAGTCTTAAATGTAGTACTTTGCATTTCTAGAACTAGACAAGGAACCAAGCCATTTTGCGAACTACATTTATTTTAAGGTCTGTATCAAACGGCTGAAAAATGCTGTAGCATATCTACATGTCGCTGTAACCAAATCTAACCATGTCCACATTCGTGTAACATGTTTTCAGCTTTGATGCCAACTTTAGTTTTCTATGGATGCAGAAGAGAATAATCATATTTAACATTTTCTAGGGTAACTTGTAGATGGCATATTTAATAAATGTACCAGGTATTTTAAAACCTTTAAATAATTATATCTATACACATGTACATGGGAAACGTTCGGCATTCGGCGTGTTCCGTGCTAGATTGCACACCAAGAACCCCTTACATGCATATAAATGTACCTTTCCAATTACATCCAAATGTTCTAGTGAAATTAATACAATCAGGCTTTTGATTGTATAACATATTTTAAAGTAAAAATCATATGTAACAATGTTTTAATATGCAGCGATAAAAACAACCCTACTCTGTCTTTATCTATATGAATGGCTTATGGCAATTACCTTGCTGTAACATAGCATAGTTCCTTGCAGTGTTGGCCCTCGTAACGCTGTGTCTATCTGTTTGTCCAGTGTTCTTGAACATTTTGAATTGGAACAAATATTTAAGATGTTATTGGCTTGCTCTCATCAATTATATGAAAACCCTCATGAAGGCCATGATGTCCCCATACTTATGCTTTGCCGGAAGCAGTACGTCCCAGGCCTTCAGAATCAAACCTCTTTCCCCTGAATGATCTGTCCATGTTGTCTGTTGTCCCACCCTGGTCTCTGTTCCAGGGGGACCACGTTTTTTTACGGAAATGTGCTGTGCTTAGTTGAGGAATGCTAATTTGCAGTCTATCCGACGCAAGTCTATCGGTTGTAACTTTGACAGATTTCCTATCCACTTGGTGCAAAGTGACCTCGTTTCCTAGGCTGTTTGAATAACTATGGGGTTAAAGGTCGCCATTTGCAAGTTTTTCTGCATTCTGCAGAACCTTAAAGGCCTGTCACACACTACCGATGTATCTCGCCGGGACTA